TGGAGGGTTCTGATTCGTTACCAACTCCGAGGCCGGATCGTGGCACGGTGCATAGAACACCGCCACCATCATTGCCTACACACCTCCACCATGTGCCGCGGTTCTCGCTCCTTCCGAGTCGGACCCACTTCTGATCCTTACAAAATTAACATGGGACCCACTCAAAGCTTCTTTGATCAAAACAATTAAACATCAATTACATTACATCACACGGCTTCGAGCTAAAGTTGTCGCTTGGTGTTGTTGTGGTTGTGCAGTACGTACTACGTACTTTATGGTACTGTGTTTAGGCAAAAATTAATGTTAAGCCCTCAAATTTATCTCATGTAAGTTTTTAACTTTAAAAAATATATATATAATCCCTCAAATTTCATTATTGATGCAAATCAGCCATTTTGATAAAATTTTTTGTTAAAGGTTACGATGGTGCCATTAACACATTTAATAAGACAATGGTTAATTGCAATTTAGTCCATAAATAGGTCAAATTTTAAACAAATCAATTTCTAAAATTTAACAAAATACTTAAAATGACTCATTTTCTATAATTTAACTTTCTTCTATTATTAAATCAATTTTTAACCCAATTAAATTGCTTAAATTAATAAAAAAATCATAAATCTAAGGTACTTGACTATCAAATTTTACTCCTTAAGGTGAATGAGATAGTTCTGAATTTGATTTCATCATGACTTTAGTCAATTTTAATTAAATTAATAGTTGTATATTTTATATTATGTTTTTTAGTTGATTTACATAATTTAATTGGATCAAAATTGATTTAATTTTAAAAATTTTGAATTGTAGAAAATTTTTTATTTTAAATATTTTGTTGAAATTTAAGGATTGATTTTGTTTTAAAGTTGACTAATTCATGAACTTAGATTGCAGTTAACCCTTTTCTTACTAAATGTGTTAACGGCACCATCAAATCCTTAGGAAAAACTTCAATAAAAGGGCTCATTTGTATCAATAGCAAAACTTGAGGACTTAATTTTCACATTTTTTTAGTTCATGAGCTTACCCCTTAACATGGGTTTAGTTTGAGAATTCAACATTAGGTTTTGCCTTCCATAAAAGATTGAAAAACCTTGGCGGCTAAGTATAGCCGAGCTAAGCCGAGCCATTTCAAAAAAAAAAAGACTGGTGTCGCGGTCATCCAGGACCGAAGTGACGGTCTATCTTCCTTTAAATGCCCACCACATCCAATTCACTGCAGTCCATGAGGACCACCGCCAAGTGTATCTACGCTACTGATACGCCAACCTGGATCAATCAGACGGAAGCAATGAGGCCATCTGTCAGTATTATCAGCAATGTGAAATGGTCAAGCTAATTAATACTCCATACCAATTGGAATGATATATATATGTTGGGTGATCTTATCAAGATAATTTTTTTGTTTTATTTTTTATATAATTTTTATATATTATTAAATGAGTGAATGTATTTAATATTATAAATTTTATGTGAATTAAAAGAATTAATTATTTTAATAATACATTAAATTATATAAAAAAATAAAAAAAATCCAAAAATTATT